AAAATAAATACTTACCTTAATACAGAAGAAATCAGAGCCCGGGAAACATCATTACTATCACAATTCGAAAACTTTGAAACTTTAACAGAATTGATTAAAACTATTACTTATTGCAGAAGATTTTTAAACTGTAAGAAAAATAATTATTACGAAAATAATCAAATTTTAACAACACAAGAATTAGAAGATTCTTTAAACATCTGCATTAAAAAGGCACAAGAAGAAGAATTTAGAGAAGAAATAGATTGTTTAAAGGTCAAGAAACAAGTAAGAAAAAGAAGTCAGCTACGATCTCTAAATCCATATTTAGATGAGAAAAATATCCTCAGGGTGGGCGGTCGTTTGAGACATGCCAATTTACCAAACGACGCGAAGAATCCTATAATATTAGGCAAGACAAACCCTCTAACTAAGTTAATTGTTGCTAATGCACATCATAAAACACTGCATGGCGGAGTCCAGTTGATGCTTTGTTACCTACGTCTCAAATACTGGATTGTACGAGCTAAATCACTGGTCAAACAACATGTGCACAAATGCATGAAGTGTGCTCGTTTCAATGCAACAACCAAAGCACAAATAATGGGTGACTTACCTATAGAAAGAGTTACGCCTACGAGACCGTTTCTGCACAGTGGTGTGGATTTCGCAGGACCGTTTCAAACACTAGTGTCTAAAGGCAGAGGAAACAAAACAACTAAAACATATATTGCAATATTTATATGCATGTCCACAAAGGCAATCCACATAGAATTAGTGGGAGGTCTTACCTCAGAAGCGTTCATCGCAGCATTTAGACGTTTTGTTGCCAGGAGAGGTAAATGCAGTCATCTGTGGAGTGACCGAGGTAAAAACTTCGTGGGAGCAGGTAGAGAACTTTATGAGTTATGGAATGAAGCACAGATGACAACAGAAATAGCAAATACACTAACTGCCGATGGCACTCAATTCCACTTTATTCCACCATACAGCCCGAATTTCGGAGGATTGTGGGAAGCAGGCGTTAAATCAATAAAATACCATCTGAAACGCATAATAACTACTAACTTCACGTTTGAGGAATTGACGACGATATTGTGCCAGATAGAAGCCTGCCTTAACTCACGACCCTTATGTCCTATCGATGATACTGACTCAGAAAACGTAAATCCATTAACTCCTGGACATTTTTTGATAGGGGAACCACCTATAGTGGTACCCTCGCCTGATTTTCAAGCTGTGAAAATGCATAATTTGACACGTTGGCAACACGCACAGAAGCTCCTGAACGATTTTTGGCGTCGATGGCAAGAAGAATATCTGACTAGACTTCAGCAGCGTCCTAAATGGATGAAGAAGGAGAAAGAATTTTCAATAGGCGATATTGTGTTGATAAAGACTGATAATCTGCCACCCGGAAAATGGTTTTTAGGGCGAATTATAGAAAAACATCCAGGCGCAGATGGTCATACCAGAGTATATAGTGTGAAAAATGGAAATTCTATTACGAAGAGAACAGTTACTAAGTTATGTGCACTGCCGGTTGATTCCACTTAGACATGAACGATTTTTATTGAATCATTAATTGTTACATTTTATAATTCATAAGAAATTGCATTTTTGTACGTTTTGAACCTTGCTTTATATAACTTCACATAATGTACGTAGGTACCTAGATAACAAAATGATCTTATTTTATTTTTAAAAGAACTTAAAGTCCTTTTGGTGGGCGGTATGTTGATGTAAGAATTGTCGTGGCTGCTCACAAACCAGTTCCATATATCTAACTATACATAGGTACGTCAAGTCGATGGTTAAAACAGTATTTTTATGTAATATTTTTTAGTCGCTAATACACTTGCATGTGGACAACACGCATTTCATTTTTCCACTCCCCTGCTCGTCGAGTGAACCTTATTACAAACACCAGTATGTTATATAACTTTGAACTAAAGCATAAACTTATTTTTTACAGGCTTTTATTGAAGTCATAGAGAGTAACCAAGGTTCCTGCACATGGAGAGTTCTAAAAATGGAAATAACAGATAAAGCAAAAGTTGTACAAGAAACTAATGAAGTTGAGGACATAGAAAAAAATAGTCTAGAGATTGAAGCAAATAATAACATAGAGGTGACTTACCCTTTAAAGTTTGACAATGTCCGTTTCCATGAGAGGCCTCAAATAACACTGTCCATTACGAACAAAAATAGCCAACCAATAACCATGTTCAAGTGGATGGTACTTTGCAGAAAAAAGGACTCACAAATAACCATGTATCCAGTATTACCAAAGTACACCAAACTGTATCCCAACGAACCATTCAATATAACAATTGATTGCCATCCAAAATTTTATGGCAAATCAAAAGAACATGTGATAATTACATTCAAAGGATTTAAAGTTGAAAGATTAATTGAAATAAATGTATTAAGTGAGTTATCTTCAAGTGAAGATGCTAACTTTAAGTTTAAAAGAGAATGTAACACCAGGACCGGATTTAAAAGAGGAGAAGTCAATTACATACCTGGAATACGATTAGCTAAGAATCCTAACTTTAGAACTGTAAGAATGGGACAATATAATATACCAGAGAAAGTTGAGTCTGCTATTATGGGCGACAATGAGAGATTAACCCGGAAAGACGTTTTACAAAAAATTGAATACAGTTTTCCTTGTCTCATTCAAAATTTGAATGTCTCAAACTATGTGGACAAATGGCATACATTATTGTACATGGAAGAAATTAAAGCAACAATTAATGTTAAAAGTTTCAACTTATCATCCACGTTTTTACTTAGAAGTCAAGAATATCTAAGCCTTGAAATTAAAAAGTTGGCTGAAAGGAGACCCTCTCTAATTGTTGGTGACAAGGTTCTAGTTACTGATATATGGGATGAAAAATCTTATACGTACGAAGGCTTTATCCATGCTATTCGAGGAGATCAAGTACTATTTAAGTTTAATCCTAGATTTCACGAATCTTACAGAGGAAGTGATGTTTCTGTAGAATTTTGTCTTAGCAGAGCTTCATTCAGAAAATTACACCACGCCATCAGCAAGGCCCTCTCGACACTAGGAACGGATGTCTTGTTCCCCTCCCGCCTAATATGGCGCCCATCCCAATTACCTTTGGAAAAAATTAATAATTTGCAATGGTTCAATCCAAACTTGAACTATTATCAAAAAAAGGCTATAACAAACATCCTAATGGGGGAATGTCGTCCAATGCCCTATTGCATATATGGCCCACCAGGCACTGGAAAAACTGTCACTGTTGTAGAAGCTCTATTACAGATAATCACGCTTATACCTGACAGCAGAATTTTAGTTGCAACACCGTCAAATAGTGCTGCAAATTTGATCACAGAAAGATTGTTACAATACAGAAAATTGTTTTCAAGTTCTGTTATCAGACTAATTGCAAACTATATGGTAGATTCTGAAAACATTCCAGACGTAGTCAAACCATACTGTGCAGTTTTAAATATAGCTAGAGAAAATACGTCAATGTCAAATCATGCCATTGTTGATAACGGCATTAATATGAATGTACCGTCATCCTATGTGGGGCGATATCGAGTTACTATTGCGACATGCAATTGTCTCGGGACGCTTGCGTTGATGGAGTTACATAAAGGACATTATACACACGTAATCGTAGATGAGGCAGGGCAGGCTATAGAACCCGAAATTATGATCCCCATGACTTTCGTAAACAAAGATAGTGGACAAATTATTCTGTCTGGTGACCCAATGCAACTTGGGCCAATTGTGTTGTCTAGCTATTGTAAAGAATACGGTATGGATAAATCATATTTGTCTAGACTGCTTGAAACATTCCCTTATCAAAAGGACTTTGATGCCTTCGAAAACGGATTTAATGAAAAATTGGTGACTCGACTGTCTGAAAATTATAGATCTTTACAAGAAGTCATAAAATTGCCTAGTGAAATGTTTTATGATGCATCTTTAGTGTCTAGAATTGACCGAAATGCTCCGTTCGTCACGAAAATTATCGACGTTGTGTCAGAAATATTTGAAATGCCCGAAGATTCTAAAGCAGGCGGGATCTATGTGCACGGCGTTAAAGGAAATAATGCACGAGCAGTGGATAGTCCTTCCTGGTATAATCCCGAAGAAGCTTCTATGGTCGCATTGACTGTTTGTAAATTGTATAAGAGTAATATATCACCAGATGAAATTGGAATAATTGCACCCTACGTTGCTCAGGTAAACATTCATACTTGTTTATTATTATTAATAAAAAAATTTTGCTCCTTGTATTAAGATATTTTTCTGTATCAAAAATCAAATCATATTCGCATTTCTGAAAACTTATTAATTGTTGTTTTCTTTCAGATAAGACATCTACGGCGTTTATTTGAGCACATGCATTTGGAACGTCCTAAAATCGGCACCGTTGAAGAATTCCAGGGTCAAGAAAAGTCACTTATAATAATATCTACAGTAAGGTCATCTAGCAACCTTATTGAAGACGATCTACAACACTCATTGGGATTTGTTCAGAATCCAAAAAGGTTAAATGTTGCGCTAACGCGAGCACAGGTAGCAGTGGTGTTGATTTGCGATCCAAATTTGTTGTCACATGATCAAAAATGGAACAAAATCATAACTGAAGCCATCAAGGAAAACAAATACATGGGATGTGGCTTTACTGCTTGTAAGGAGGTAGAAGAATGAGTCGAAGAATGAACATGAAGTTTTCATGAATGTTTTTTATATTTACTATCTTTTTTTAAACAATAGAGTACTTAGTCGCAACTGATTATGATCGCATGTATGATTAGTAGATGTATAAATGTAGATTTAGATTTCCTGTGTAGTTTGTACTCCCATTTTTATGGGTCCTGCTGTTTATTCTCAAGTTAATTAAAAGAAATTGAAATGATAAGTATGAACCGCTCTTTAGTCCCATGGTGTATATTTAATAGTTACACGATGTGTAGACTTGATTTGAGTACAAGTTAGTTGGGCTCATCTTGAATCAAGGTTATATTATTAAACGGTTTTATTTAGCTTTCCCATTTTGTTTGTTTGGGTTATATTCATTAAATCTCATGACTCTGACTGACTCTCATTCTATCAATCTTGATGACCGTATGGTCTATAATAGGTACATATGCATCCTTTATGATTGATGATTGTAAATCTAAGATGGCCACCGATACAAAACAGCGGATTATACTCATGTTTTTTCCACATCTACCTTCTTATTGAATGGACATCAAATAGAAGGGCTTTGATACAATTAAACCGATAAAAACCGTCTAACATCTATCTATATAAATAAAAATGAATTTCCTTTTGTCAGTCTCCCTAAAACTCGAAAACGGCTGGACCGATTTTGCTAATTTTTGTTCTTGAAAATAAATGTTCGTGGAAGTCCAGGGAAGGTTTAAAAAACGAGAAAAAAGAAATCCGACGGTGTTCAATGTTTGCCGCGTCAGCTAGTCAATACATAGTATAAAACAAAGTCGCTTTCGCTGTATGTCCGTATGTATGCTTAGATCTTTAAAACTACGCAACGGATTTTGATGCGGTTTTTTTTAATAGATAGAGTGATTCTTAAGGAAGGTTTGTATGTATATACATATTGCACTCGTGCGAAGCCGGGGCGGGTCGTAAAAAATAATTTAATGTATATTTTTAATTATGATCTGACTTTTGGTGATAGATTTATAATAACGTTCACCATGATACTGTACATGATTTGTCAGTCCAATAATTGGACTCTATATTGTCTTGTTTACATTACAAAATGCAATGGTGCATCTTTAGAAAGGTTTTATATTTTTCAAATGACTAGTTTTTTCAGGTAGGTCACTATTGGCCCTCTGGGCGGCTATTTGTGTGTATTACAAAATGATACTGTAGTGTTTATAAAACATAATACTGTGTACTTTTATTCACGGAACGTAGTTATAGTAACGTGTGTGTATTATACTTTGAATTCTCCTTTAAGTGTGGAGCCAACTTTGATCATAATTTCAAGTAAAACATCACCTATGTCCAATTATCAACACTGTATTCTTCGAAAACATTCCTGTATATTTTTTGACTGATACAAAAACCTACTTAACCGCCAGAGTCATCTATGACAAGTCAAAAAGACAATGGCGCACCACAATGTCAGTCAAAAAGTCCTAGTCTGCTTCTCTAAATGAAATGTCTTTTTATACTCTTTAATAAGTCAGAAATGTAAAAACAATTAGATACACGCATACTTTTAAATCGAAACTATACCAAAGTAATTTTTCAATGTTCCTTTTAAAATAGGTAATGCAAACATAACACATTTGTGACTGTGTGAATCTAGTAGTGTCTCTATAATGTAAGTTGTATTTTTAGTTTTAAGGTTTTTAAAATACAAATTAATCCCTTAGAAATTGTTGTTTCTTTATTTACCCTTATAACCTAGTTCTTTGAAAAGGGCAATACGCAGACATAGAGCCCGAAGAGGTTTGAGTAACCTACGAGTCGTGGGCACTCGTGGGTTCGATTCCCTTGACCAAAAATAAGCCATCTATAAATTACGGAAAGTGTTCAGGAGAAACTCTAGTGCAGGAGGGGCGAAAAAACATGATTTTTGGTCATGTTAGTGATTACCTACGTACTACGATTAATATACCTGCGTAAATGCACATCTACCTTAACTTCTATAGAATGTCCCGTAAATAATGGACCATAATCTCCAGTGAAGATAAGGGGTCAAGTCAAATGTCACGACAGAGGGGAATAAGCGAAATGTGGGAGAGCCATACTTCTTATATGAAGAGGCCGGCTTGGCTTGAGCGATACCACGGCCTCACAGAAAACCGACGTGAAACAACGCTTCCGTTGTGTTTCCTCGTGTGAGTGAGGTCACCGGCGCCCAATACCATTATTGGGATTATTTATGTTATGATTGAAGGGACCAAATACTGGGCCCCATCTAAAGAGTAGGTACCTATGACAAATATACTGGAAAACCCGTCTAAAGCTTGCATAGCATCGAGCACAATTCAGTCTGTGCTACTGCCTTTCATGAATTGAGAGACTCTTCTAATAACCACCCCTTATTGGCCCCGTTCTTTCTCTTGCTTTGAGCCAGAGTCCGGCTACCCGTTAGGGTAAATAATTCGCTAAGCATGTAAGTTACACATTTAAGTCTATTTAAACATGGTAATCATTACAGCCAATATTACAGCCCCATGAGATGTGTTATATCTGCTTTAAAAATTACTACCTACCCTACTCGTCTACCGTTCAGCATTGTGTGTCTCTATCCCTCCTTCATATTTTAAACGTTCTTTATAGATGTTGCTTGAATTAGATATTGTAAAAATAAATGGTTATTAATTTTAGAATTTGTTTAAGTGTGAAGTATTTCGACAAATATTCCTACAGTGGTAAACAGAACAGTAAAGAATTCGTTTCTTTGTGCACTTTAAACCAATAGCAATGTAGATAATATTTATTGCCTTCTTCGGTTGAGTTTGACAGTTTGGCTTACTTCACAAACGCACAAGCAGACGTCACGCGTTACGGATTACGAAAAACATTTATTTCTATTTAATTTTTCCTTTATTATTCTTTATTTTGCTAATAATATAATGTTTACAATCAAGAAATAAGATACATATTGCCAGTTCGCCGAGTGACATTATTATTTCGTCAAGAATGGAGGCAAATGGTGCCGTTTTGTGTGACAATTTGATTAAGTGGTTGCAGACTTTAGATCTTAAAGCAAAACATGGAAATCCATCAGGTAAATGATGTCTTAATATTCTAAAATCAAGTCTGTTATGTTATGATTAGGATTAACGTTATGAACCCGGTGGTATTCGTCCCACTTCCCTATTAGAGGGCACCCAGTAAGTGGATAATTTCGTCACTTATTCTTGTTTTTATTTGATTGAGACATCACTCTCGTTTGCGGTATTGCCTAATTTGCAGTCATTTTCGCCATTGTTCTTGGATAAAGAAGATAACTGTGTTTAATGGTCATATAGTCTAGTGCATACTTCTAGGAAATGTGTATCAGTAGACAAGAGTGATTGCCCACAGAGCTATTGTTCATCAACCCACACACAGTGTAATCTATAGCTAAATAAGTCTTTAGTGTACAAAAGCGGTGTTTAATGAACATACAACTGATTAAATTTTATGTAACTACTTCACATATTGTTAAATTCATACAGTTATGTTTTGTAATCATGACTAATACTGCCTTGAACTTTTTCAAATATGTATCACACAATGTCACAAACTAAAGTTTATTTATTTATTTATTTATTTATATTTAAGAACACTTAAACTATCATTACAGGGCATCACGTACCCTAATGCGACAGCTAAGAACCAAACCAAATATACAACACAAACCAACACCAACTAAACCAACAATAACAATATATAGAATCAAAAATAGGAAAAAGCTATACATTATTCACCAACATAATTAAAAATTACATGTCATTATTGAAATTATCGAATCTAATAAAAATACATAATATTATTTTACTTATAACACAATATAAATAGTAATACCCTCGCGAATTCACCAAAACAACATGTTAACACATCAATCTGTGCGTGAAGGTCGTTAATGGTACGGATAGCTCTGGTAAGAGGTGCCTTAGCGAGTAAGTTAGTTCTCGCTGTAGGTACCAACAGCAAAGGCGGACTCCGCCGTCGCCACACGTAGCGGTCCGGCACACACAGACTTAAGTGCCGCAATACTGTCGGGTGACTCTCCACTCCACGAAGCACCCTCACCAAGTAGGCGACCAGTGTAAACTCTCGCCGGACATGCAGTTGATTATATCCAACCATACCCAGGATAAATAGAGTGGGATACATCAGTGGGTAAAACGGATATACCCCATACAATCTCTTGTACAGGTGGCGTGTGAACTTATTCTGAACGCTCTCCAGCATTAACGTGTACTTAGCTTCATGTGGAGCCCATATGACCGCACTATGTTCCAGATGACTCCTGACTAGTGCATCATATAGGACTCTAACTGTTGTAATATTTGTGAAGCTTTGTGTCTGTCTCAAAACAAATCCTAAGTTTCTGTATGCCTTCTTACAGATTCTGGTTATATGCTCACGGAATGTCAGATCGGGAGTCATGAAAACACCCAAGTCTCGCACCCCTGTGACTCTTTGCAGTGGCGCCGCATCCACCACATAATCGTAGCGCACCGGTGCACGAGCACGGGTGAAACTCATCAACGAGCACTTGGATACGTTAAAGTACAGCTTGTTTTCATGACTCCATTGTACTATGCGATCGATGTCCTCTTGCAAGCGCCTGCAATCTGCCTCTGACCTAATCTCTAACAGCAACTTAAGGTCATCTGCAAATAACAAACAAGCACCATGTCTTACGACTTCCGGTAGATCGTTTATCATGATAATGAATTCTAGAGGCCCCAAGTTGCTGCCCTGACTTACCCCCGACCAGGTGTAATATAGATCGGATTCACATCCTTTGTAGTCCACGTACTGCTTTCGGCCTTCCATGTAACTAGCAAAAAACCGCAATAGATTCCGCGAGCATCCTACTTCTGCTAGCTTCCGCAGTAATATGTCATTATCGACGGTGTCAAAAGCTTTTCTAAAGTCAAAATAAGCTACATCCACCTGCACTCCCGCATCGACAGCTGGCACCACTCGTCCCATGAAATCCAGGAGATTGGTAGCAGTGCTGCACCCTGACCGGAATCCGTGCTGCGCATCCGATAACTGTCCGCGCACTCGCTCTTGCATACAGCGCTGAATGGCAGATTCGAACACCTTTGCCGGCGTCGACAACACAGCGACTGGCCTATACCCACCGATGTCAGCTCCCGCCCCACCCTTGGGTACTGGAATGACCCGTGTTATCTTCCACCTAGCTGGGAACCTCGCAGACTGAAGACACGTGTTAAATATAAAAAGTAAAGGTTCCGCGAGTACCCTACCACAGTCTTTGAAAAGGAACGCTGGTAGACCATCCGGGCCCGCAGATAGCTTTGGCTTGAGACGGTCGAGAGCACTTCTAACATCCTTAAGACTAAGCTCATTAAGATGTAAACATTGGCTACCAGTGTCCCCCGCTTCCGCCGCTGCCCCTTCTGAGTCTAGTCGTGGCGGTGCATTACTATATACCGACTTAAAGTAAGTCGCGAACTGCCCAGCACTTTCCTCATCTGACAGATACTGACCGTCCTTAATAATGTTCGGTCTACTCGCTGTAGTTTTCTGCGAGCGTATATATTGCCAAAATGATTTAGGGTCTTTCGCGAATTGACATTGTATCTTATGTTCATGATGTTTGCGCGCAATTTCTATTAATTTTTTAATATGTGATCTATATCTAGAATATTCTTCGTAAGTACTATTTGATTTAGTTATTTTATATGTTTTGTGTAGTCTTGCCTTTATCTTTATTTTTTTTATTATCTCATTCGTATACCATTTGGGATAAATATATCGCTGTTTGACACGTGATGTTTTCATAGGAACACTTGCATCTAAAATATCATTAAGTTTATCATAAAATAAATTCAAAATATCTTCCACATCACTCTGCTCAAACATATCGGTCCAATCAGTAATCAAGTGACTGGTTACTCTGTAAATAATCTCAATTTAACATTGTAACATAGGCTAAACAACATAATTTTTTCCTAAAACAATCAGAACTATGAAAACTTAACCTCCTTTGTTACTTTAAAAAGTAAAAGTTGTATGGTGTATAAGATTGTTGCAATCATTCTTTAACTGTTTTATTTTTATTTCAGAACTGTCCGATGGTGTGGCAATTGCGGAGGCACTTACACAAATTGCACCTGAGTATTTTTCACCGGGATGGAATTTGAAAATAAAAACAGATGTCGGACATAATTGGAGGCTAAAAGTTAGCAATCTGAAAAAGATATTGGAGGGTGTTGTAGGTATGAATATGTTTAATCAACTCTAGATAAGTGACTTATCTGGCATTTGCATGAAATAGGATTTCATAATACTGTATAACGTTATTGTTAATCATAATTATCTTGATAGTGATTTGAATAAAACAAATGGGCTTCTGAATTTTCTTAAAGAATTTTAGCAAGCATAATGAGACAATACTTGATTATTCACAATACTTGAACTAATTCATTTAATTTCACTTACTTAACAGTCTGTGGAAAATTAGGTAAATTGCTTTTAAACCAAAACTTGTTACTACACAAAAGAGTTTCATACGAAACTGGTTCCACACTGAATTAGCATAAAAGTTACATTTTATTCAGTCCATTTAACATTTTATTTATGAACAGAAGTGGACTATTATCTGAGCTATCAATTCTGAGCCCTCCTGACAGCCCCTCTTTTTATTATAATCTCCGAGTTGCTGCTGCTATGTTTATGCTGTAAATGAATACTATCATAGTCGGCATACATTTTTATAAAATAAATAAAGGAATGTTTAGTGTAGTTTTAATACCATTTGAAATGATATTAATAATATTTTATTTTGTATTAGGTTCTGCCAGTAGCTTTGCTTACTTTACCAAGATACAAAGTAGCCTATGTTTTATTCCAGACTATGCACTATCAAATTTTATATAGACCAATTCCTTAGTTTTTGCTAAGCTAATGCAAGCCACAAACCTACATGGATCCTCACAAACTTTTCCATTTATAATACCAGTATGACTATTGTAACAAGTAACAATGCTTGTTTCAGATTATCATCAAGATATTCTAAATTTAAGTTTACAAGAGTTCTCAAGGCCAGATGTAGTAAATATAGCGGAGACGGCTGATGCCTCGGACTTGGGGAGACTGTTACAACTTGTTTTAAGTAAGTCTATTTTTATACCAACTTAGAATATGGAATTATTGAATAGATTAATTAAATATTATTAGCATTTGTTAAAGCTAATAAGATAATTGCGTAAACATTGTTATATGAAAATTAAGCTTATATTATATTTTCTTACTAGCTTCTGCCCGCGACTTCGTACGTGCAATCACGTTTTCTCCCGTTTCCTTAGCATTTTCTGGATTTTTCTGTCTTAAAAACCTCCTAATAATAATAATAAATACAACAAAAGAAGAATTAGTAAAATCGGTCCAAGCATTTTCGCGCGTGATGCCGTGACCAAGGGAAAAAACACCATTTTTATATTTTTCGATTTACCTAATATATACCTAATAAAGGCCTATAATTTTTTATTGCCTTCAATAAAGTATTTTTCGGACCGAATCAGTCTCTTTAGAATACAATATCAGGAGTAGTAAGGTTCAATAGTTCTTAGTGGTCATTGAATCACATGTCATTTAAAGTCTTATTCACGCTGTAATGTCATTAACTTACTTCCCTTCATAACATTCCTTACATATCTATCTACATAAGGCATTTTAAAATAATATATCTTAAAACAGGTTGTGCAGTAAATTGTGTCAAAAAGGAAGAATACATCACAAGAATTATGGAAATGGAACTCTCATGTCAAAGATCTATAATGCAAGCGATACAGGTATGCAATAGCAACACTATTTCTCTACAAAAAATAATGGAAATGCACTTTGATGCCTATATATCTAAGGTGCAGATTTGTATGCACAACACTTTATTGTAGTACATACCATTGGGATTATAGAAATTGTATTAGTAATTGAGAAAGTTATTAGAAAACTTAGCAGTAATAAAAGTTTGGTGCATGCTCTGCATAGTAGCATTGCAATTAATATAGTATGTTTACAATAAGTATAGAATATAGATAGGCACTAAACAGATTTATATCAGATAAATCAATCACTGTTTACTAACTTAATATGTCAAACTCTTCCATTACTAAGTGATTGATACATTAGGTAACATACAGCTGAAACTACCATTCATACTGCCATGAGAATGAACTATCAAAGAATGAAAAATCCTTTAGAATATAGGAAACAGACGGTATCAGACAGCACACATGGTTGAGGGGAAAAGAAAAACAAAGCACCTACTTAAGTACATTTAAAATGATAGTGTTTTTAATTCACCACTTACTAGGTGATACCAATACATAAATTAGTGCCAATTTAGGTATTGAGTCTACTGAGTAATGTAGGTTCATGTATTTACACATAATTATATGTATGTTTAAACACATGGAAATACAACGATAAAGGAAATATTACGAATCATAAAATTATTAAGTTCTTTTTGGTAACACTCAGTTGTTTTTTATAAGTAAGTACATCCTCTTTTCTTTAACTTTTATATCTGGCAATAAACATAAATGTAAGTAAATTAAATTTTGTTACAGTTTGTTTTTGCTAAGTATTGCTAAAAATATTCGCTGGTGCTGAGAACAATTTCAGTGAACCAAAACTTAATAAAATTCAGTGTATTGTTAATGTGTGTACGTTACAAGTGACCTTGTGCTCATATTTGCAATCTAATTATACATCCAAAGTTTTTTGCACGGATACAATCACCTTTACGTGAGTGGCTTAGTATAGTATTTCAGTGGACAAATAAAAGAAAAAGACGAAATGGTCATTAGATAAATAATTACTAAGTAAGAAGTGAAGATATAAATCGTAAACTTTCTAGACGTGACCACTTAGCTGTGACTAATTCAAATTCTATAAAAGATTGATTATAACATAATCATTGTTATTGTATCACAACAAAAAAGATGAAAGCACTGATTGCTCCTCATTATTCGTAATAAAACAAATCTTTAACACTTTATCACATTATCCATCCATAACCAATTAGTCTAATTTTTGCTTATGTCATGAGTAATGTAGCTAGTCGACCGCCTTTCCATGCATTATAGTATTACATTATATTTGATCGCATTTATAATGTAATGTGCATCGGCGCAAGAGTTTAGTAAGGCTAGCTTCTTGCTTCACGTTCGAAGTTGCATGCTCATTGCTCGGAGCGGTAAAGAAATTCAATGTTAGTTACGCTCATTTTTAATGTCCTTGAATCACGATACAGTGGGTGGTGGATGCGACAATACGTTGTGTATCCGTCAGTTGTAGAACGTGGCGCCGCCGGCATCGGTGGTGTTTGCCTGAAAGTAAAAGTTAGTTGCAGTGAAACTAAATGAGTGGTTTGTTTAGAATGTTATTATTTTGTGTTAGGAACTGCAGACGTTAACGCTGGGCGTGAATCGTGGCAGTGTGCACTTGGACGCGCCGCCGGTCGAGCAATCTGATGCGGACATGAGAGAAGCCCTCGCGCAGAGGTGCCATGAACTAGACACGCAGGTTTGTTTATATTATATTATTAATTAAACATCCTCATTATCTTACTTTACGATCCGTTTACCGTTTCATGCTCGACTGTTATGAAACCATACTTACGTTATTTATTTCACGCCTTACAGTTTGTTTATATTAAACAACATTTCATAACATTAATTTAATGTGAAACTTAACTAAATGACTGTTTCCAATTCTAGTTCCTTTGTGTTTTGTAGCTTTCTACTCGTTAATTAATGGTAACATATTTAATTATCATTTAATCTTCTATGGCTGTAAACATGCTTCAGCCCAAATTATGGTTCATTATGTGGAGACTTGAATTGAGACGCATCAAGGCATTTGTGTCATAAGAGTCCCGTATTTTTAATTTGATAGATAAGCAAACGTAATGACACCTACACTAAATTGCATTTGTTTTCATGTTAAATAACTATTTTATTTTCTGTTCGGGGCGGTAACGGGATCATAGCGCTATCAACATTTTATTTTATTATAAAATAATTCATTATTTAACACGAGTTGTCCCAGCGCTCGATAGATGGCGTTGGGATCGAGTTAGATGGCGCTATGGTTTCGTTACCGGGATTTATATAGGGTACGGACAAATGACATCTACGGTGTGAGCAGCAAGCATTGTAATTGTTATATTATACGCGATTAGTATATCAGTACAGTGTATTATTCATCCACCCTCTCCAAGTCGACCTTCGTTCATGGTCCTTCGAGCCGGATTGGTCGGGAGTGTTTGTGGTTCCGGTGGTGGTAAAATACCATCCTTCGCGTCATTACTGGGCAGTGGATCGCTGTCCAGAGCATCCCCTCAAGGGGTACCAGGTGAGAGGTATCTGGAGTACCCTGGAGGTGGAACCGGAAGGAGCCGGGAGTCGTTGGCGGTGCGTGGTGCAGCATCGCTGATGGTCGGCGAGCATCCGGAGGGACGACGCAAGGGCTGCTCATCAGTTCGTGGTCAAGCAGGCAGACGGCGCCACTTGTGTGGTGCAGTGGAGACGTCGTGACGCGACAGGTGTCATAAGTGTCAGAGAGTGAATAAGTGGAAAAATCGTGAGTACTTTCAACCTTATTAATTCAGGAAGAATCTAATAGAAAAAGTAAAAAGTGCATTCAAAATTAAACCTTAAATTCAGTAGAAAATTAACTTAGTCTCATTTGTGTGTAATTTCGGACTTGTAATAATTTTAAGGAAAAAGTGGTTGAGACGGGGAACCTATGCCCGATTTTCTATAGAGGTTACACTCAAAAAGACTTGTAATATTTTCATGATAAATAAAAAAAACTTGTAAAAATTTAAGATTTGTGTTCGGAAACTAGTGGACATTAAGTTTAGCATAAATATATAATTATAATTCTTTCTCTATTGTATTTGTGTAGATGAAAGATTGTTGTATTAGTTATCTGTTTGTACTTAATATTCTGTGTAAAAAATGGATTCATTTGTGGGTATCCAGGAAGATGTAAAAAATAAACTTGAAAGGTCTATGGTTAACTTTAAGAAATGTCCTAAAGACCGGCTTACAGTATCTTATATTGAAACAAGGTTAGAAAATTTAGAACAACAATGGCAACTTTTCTATAATACTCACGTTAAAATATTAAACGAAGTAAAGAAATCCGAATTGCAGAGTTCTAAGTATCATAAAGATTGTTTTTATGAGGAGGTCGAAGATTTATATGTACAATTTAAAAGCACTCTAAAGGAATTAATTAGAAATGATACTTCAGGTAAAGAAAAATGTTGTAGTTCGGGACTTAGTGGTTGTAGCAAAACATATAATAATTTTAAGTTGCCAGAAGTCAAAATACCAATGTTTTCCGGTAAATACAACGAGTGGTTGACCTTTCGAGATTTGTTTATGGGGTTGATACATAATAATAGTAGATTAGATGATGCACAGAAATTATACTATTTGAAAGGATATTTAACTGGGGAAGCGGAACTGTTATTAAGAAATGTAAATGTGACTTCGGATAATTATGTTACTAGTTGGGAGAAGTTAGAGTCCATGTACAATAATAAAAGATTCTTGGCAAATGGTATGGTAAAATGTTTATTTAATCAAAAGGCTTTAACTGGAGAGTCCGCAACAGATATTAAAAAACTTTTGAGTACAACATCGGATTGTTTGGAGTCAATAAAAAATCTCGATATAGATCTTGCATCATTTTTAATTGTTCACATAGTTACTGAAAAATTGGATACGGTTACTAGAAGAGCCTGGGAGTTAAAAGTAGCGTCAGATCCAAAGGATGATCTTCCTACTTTTGATCGACTTAAAGAATTTCTAGTTAATCGGTTTCGGGGTTTAGAAAATATAGAAACTAAAGTAGATAGGGTCTCAAAAGCTACACGGGCGTTTCATGTGATTAAAGATAAGAAGATATCTTGTGCATTTTGTACAGGTGAACACAAAATAAGTTCATGTACAAAGTTTATAAAAGAAAGTACTCAAAATCGGCGTAGCTTTGTTCAACAGAACAATTTATGTTATAATTGCCTGCTTAGCAACCACTCTGTAAAATTTTGTAAAAACACTCTCAAATGCCAAGTGTGTAATCGCCGCCACCATTCATTGTTACACCCGCAGGGTGTTGTAGGGTCAGAAGTTGGTGAGGGTAGTGGTGCTGCAAACCAAGGGTCTGAAACAAAGGTAGTCTCATGTCTTGCGACAGGAGGCAATAAAACTATCTTACTAACTACAGCCTTAGTAAAGGCTGAGTCGAAGAATGGGACTTACCATACAGTTAGGGCGTTACTGGATCAGGGATCCCAGGGTTCTTTTATTACAGAGTCTCTGGTTCAGTATCTAGGGTTGAAGAAAAGATCTTCGAAAAACAAAGTATTGGGGGTGGGAGATAAGGGTACAACATCAACGGCCGTAGTGGAGATAAAGCTTCAATCTAGAATAAATCCATCGTTTCAAATAAGGGTTAACGCCTACGTTCTTAAGTCGGTAACATCGCTTCTTCCATCGGCTAAAGTAGCTAGGGTAGAATGGGTGGACTTGAACGAATTTGAATTGGCTGATCCGGAATACTTTACTCCTAATAAGATCGATGTTCTATTGGGCGCTGAGGTATACAGTCAAGTCATTCAGGAAGGTGTTAAAAAGAATAGAAACGGGACTCTATTAGCTCAAGAAACCACTTTGGGATGGATACTATCAGGTGCGTTTGATGTTGATCAAGATATAAATTCTCACTCAAAAATTACCGTGATGCATACCAGCGTCCAGGATGATGAATTATTGAGAAAATTCTGGGAATTGAAAGAAACACCTGGAACAAAAAGGATGCTCACGGAGGAGGAAACCAAATGTGAAGAATTATTCACAGCAACTACGACAAGGGATAAAAATGGCAGGTATATAGTAAGGTTGCCATTACGGGATACAAACCTGGTTGGTACGGGCCGCGAATCCAAAGGGATAGCTGAAAAAAGACTTAAGGGGTTAAAGGCAAGGTTAGCAAAAAATAGTAAATTAAGGGCTGACTACGCAAACGTGAGACAGGAGTATTTAAGTCTTAAACACATGGTCGAAGTATCTGAAAGAAAAAAGAAATAATAAAAATAGTGTTTACTTACCTCATCATGCCGGGAGGATAAAGATACAACTAAGGTGCGTGTTGTATTTGATGCTTCATGTAAGCGCAGCAACGGGAGGTCTCTTAATGATGACCTGATGGTTGGTCCGTCTTTGCAAGACGAGCTTTGTCATATTATTATACACTGGTCCTATGGCCAGACGGGGTCGTTGCGCTGTATTATAGTGATAACGGCACTAATTTTGTGGGTGCAGCACGGGAGTTGCTGTATTTATTTAATCGGGAGAAATCTGGTTTTAATTCGGAATTGGTTGAATATCTGGGTAATAATGGTACAGAATGGCATTTCGTCCCTCCTCACGCACCGAACTTTGGGGGTTTGTGGGAGGCAGGCATAAAATCTACTAAGTACCACCTCAAACGGGTAATAGGAAATTCTACCTTAACTTATGAAGAGATGGCCACAGTATTGGCTCAGGTTGAGGCTTGCCTTAATTCAAGACCATTGTCTTACGTTGAGGATCAAGATAAGTTTACCATATTAACTCCTGGCCATTTTCTTATTGGAGAACCACCAGTTTTACCCCCGGATTCAAATTATGAAAAGGTCAATACTGTTAATAGTTTAAGACGTTGGCAACTTCATCAGAAGATAATGCAAGATTTCTGGCGGCGTTGGTCTAATGATTATTTACAACAATTTTTACAGCGACATAAGTGGGCTCATAAAAATCCAGAACCATCTATTGGTGACATTGTTTTAATTAAGGAGGATAATATGCCTCCAGCAAGGTGGTTAATGGGAAAAATTGAGCAAAAACATCCGGGTCCTGATGGACTGACTCGAGTAGTAACTGTACGCACTCAATCGTCAATGTTTAAAAGACCGACATCAAAATTATGTATTTTGCCAATTTGCCAGGAATCTAATGAAATTTAGTATAATTAACCTGATAAGTTGAGATATTAATTTAATTGTTACTTAGAAGTTTTAATTTTTGTTATTGATTTTAAAGTTTATGTAACGGGTTGGGAATTGTTTGTTTATGTTTTAGTGGAATTATTTAAGCTGGTTTATACTTATACATACACATACGAGCCGCCAAGGACGTCAGTTGCCATACTGGGTAGTAGATTGTGATATGGCACATTTGTTATGGTGGGCGGTATATTAAGGACATTTATTGGGAATATGTCCTTGGTGGGCGGTATGTTCGGGGCGGTAACGGGATCATAGCGCTATCAACATTTTATTTTATTATAAAATAATTCATTATTTAACACGAGTTGTCCCAGCGCTCGATAGATGGCGTTGGGATCGAGTTAGATGGCGCTATGGTTTCGTTACCGGGATTTATATAGGGTACGGACAAATGACATCTACGGTGTGAGCAGCAAGCATTGTAATTGTTATATTATACGCGATTAGTATATCAGTACAGTGTATTATTCATCCACCCTCTCCAAGTCGACCTTCGTTCATTTTCAATTAATTAAGTGCCTTGATTGTTTTATTTTAACCCACATTTTCCAAGTGTATTTACACCTACTTCGATTTTTTTTCTGATAGGTAGATGAGTTTCAAATGCATTATAGACTTAATAAGCCAGCATTAGGTTATAAGGTACTTACTGTAATGTCGAACAATGACCTCTCTTAGGCTGTATTTAAAAATAATCTCACGTACTATCATAACTAAACTGCTTATTGTTTAAAATTAATGACAATCGATGCGTTCCCAAAATAAATTATGTTTTCAAATATTGCATATAGTTTATACCGAACTTTGATAACGTTCAATAAGTTCGTACCTTCAATATTTAAATTCGATTCGATAATTTAACTAGAGAGTCGAAAGATGTCGCTCTGTGTATGTTTTCATTACTTTTTTACAATATTTTTTTCTAATAGTCTTCACAATATTCAATACATGGCAATAAGTACCCCCTATTACGTAGGACTCAAACATAACTAGTTAAGTGCTGCCTCTGCTGAAACGTTTAGTGGTTATATGGCGTCACAGAAATATACCCATAGGAATCTTGTGGAAACAAGGTCTATAATGGAGTAAGTGGAGACTATGGTAGTGACTGGGCAGTTAACATACAAAAAAGTCCTATAGTTAATCCACCTATTTCCGTGTTTCTTACTTACAAACCATTTATTACTATTATTACAGGTTAAAATTCTCCAAGAAGAGAAGATGACGTTGTTGAGTGAGGTGGCTAGGTTGACAGCGGCGCGAGAAGCCGTTGTCGAGTCTGGGGAAGCTGAGTTAGATGACGCAGGAGCTTCACTGGGTCCTGCTCATGCTGGGACATTGCGTTATACCACCATGAGGTCACAACTGGACGCGCTAAAAGATGAATTGGATAAGGTGGAACTCCAAAGAGATGATCAGCATGCAAGAGCTGATGCTTTGGAAAGGGAGTTGGCGTTGATGAAGCTTAGGAATGAGGAGTTGCAGGTTTGTTTTGTTTGATTTTTGATAAATATTTATTGATTCATTTGCAGGCAATTTGGTCGGAGTAGCATCTATATTTATATCAATTAGGTTATGTACTGAAAGTTAAACCAGTTAAACATTTCATTGTAGGATAGAACCTTAAAAGTCTACGAAATTAAGGTTCATTTTTAAAAATATGTTACGTCATTTGATTTCCTTTTGAAAAATATATTATTCGGTTTGCTTTAGGTGGTGCAGTTTCATGAATTTTTCTCTTGTTAATAATAATCTAGTAATTTAGTAATAACTTAAGTGCTAATTAAGTATTTGAAAATGTGCAAAATTTTTACAGTGCTGAAGACCTTGACGGTTTGGGTAATAGTGCGTGTTAATTACAAACATGCTTTAACTTTATTATTTATGGCTTACGTAAAAAGGAAATCGTAGTGGCGATATACAAAGCATTAATATAATTTTCTTTATGATTCATTTGACTAGATGCTGACTATTATTTATCTAGTTTCTTTCTCTTAGATTGTAAATCAGTTGACTAGTTAATTTATATGGTGATGAAGTAGTGTTTTGAACAGTTATTTATGGTGTTACAAATTGTCTTTCTCCATGTACAAAAACTGACAACGGCTCAGTAAATAGTAATAAAAATAATTATATTTAAACCAAGAGCGCAGCGTATCGTTACACTGTATGCGCACGCGCCGTTATATAACATGCTTAAGAGATATGATGCATTAATTACTTAATATTTAAAACCTAATTAATCTAACTGCTTCGGTGCTCGAATGGTAGGAAGCGGAACTGCCGAACGAGAAAAATCCTTTTGCATCCCCGGAATTTGTGCGAAGAATTATTGCGATTGTATAATCATAACATAACTGACAGAAAGTGGATGTTACTACACTTACATAATAATAATAATATGAGCCATTTTACTCCTCTTTCGAGAAGAAAAAGAAAACGCAAATCTGTCCTTTCAAAGAATAAAATATCTAGTATTAACTACACTGCCTCGTTGACTGAGTGGTGTGAAGTCGCAAGTGCGAAGACCGGGTAAAGGGTCTCAAGTTCGATTCCGGGGTCGGGCAAATTATTACTGGGTTTTAAAAAAAATCTCAGTAGTAGCACGGAGTCTGAAATTGTTCCCGGTATATGGCAATAGGCTCACCCCCTATTACATGGGACTCATAACATAAATAGTAAAAAGTGGGTGTTTCATTGTACAGTAGCATTAAGAGCCGTAATGTGCACCTCTGCCTACCCCTTCGGGGATAAAAGGCGTGATGTTATGTTATATTATTATTAACTATTGTTATTAAATGATTCCAGATGGCAGCTTCAGAAAATGTGGCATTAAAAGACGAATTAGATGCATTAAGAGAGACGGCAGCTAAGGCGGCGGCCTTGGAAGCTACGGTCGCTTCCTACAAGAAGAGGATGGAGGAACATGTGGACTTGAGAAGGCAGGTGAAGCTTCTAGAACGAGCCAACACGGAGCACGTCCAGCGCGCCATTGAACACGAACAAGCCGCCGCCAAAGCGAACGCGATACGAGCACAACTTGACATTTATAAAAAACAAGTAAGGGCTTTGTTATGTTTTATCTTATTTTTATAACGTTAGTTATTGTCTTTATTAGAACTTGTTGCCTGTGTCTCATCAGGGTGAACAGAAACTACTGGGTCGCTTATTATGATCCCCGCATACTTCTTTCGCATCATCGGTATTATTCACATTACATTTATTTTTGACTAGCTGAATCCGTAACAACGTCCGCGTTTTTATAAAATAAAAATGGTCTATGTTACTCCTTAGTATGTAAGCCAATAAAAGTTCCGTTAAAATCGGTCCAGCTATTTCAGAGATTAGCCAGTATAAACAAACAGACAGACAAAAATTGTAAAAAGTATTATTTTGGTATATGTATCTTTGTATATTAATTGCATGTAGTAAAAAGGGATTCAAATTCAAATTCATTTATTCATTGTAGATCACAGGTAGATACATAATAGAGTTGTTATCATAATTTGTTTGAGCTCAGCTGTGTCCTGCCCATAGGGCGTACAATAGTTGGGTACAATATTAATGTTCAAATAAGTCAATTATATAGAGGTAATAAAACAAGAAATTATTAGATAAATTAGAGGTACATATGTCATGTCGATAAATGCTTATGTCAAATATTTATTATGGTTTATTTAGTAAAATAAGTACAATAGGTAATACTGAACACGTCATGATTTAGGTATAGAATATTGTAGCAGGGATTTGTCATTTAGGTAATCATTTATAGTATAATAACATTTATTCACCAATATGTCATGTAATTTCTTTTTAAATATGGTTGTTTCTTTGATCTGTCTTATATCTCCCGGAATATTATTAAATATCTTCGATACTATACAGAATATGCTCTCGTGCATTAGATGTGTTCTGCTTGGAACTATGTGTAATTTATTTTCGTGTCTTACGCGCTCACGGAACGTAAATAGATTGGGATTGTTTTTAACAAATAACGCGACCTCAAGGATGTACAGACTTGGCAAAGTGAGGATGTTATGATTTTTAAAATATGGGATACACGACTCAGTTCCTTGTAATTTGAAAATAGCCCTTAAACATCGTTTCTGCGCTACAAATGCCCTAACTTTGTCAGTACTGTTGCCCCAGAATATTAAGCCATATCTTAGGGTTGATCCAACATAACCATGATACGCTGTCTTAAGGGTAGTTTGATTTGCAACTTTTCTGAGTCTTCTAAGGGCATATGAGAATTGGTTCAGCCTTTTACAAACATGGTCAATGTGTAGTTTCCAGTTAATTTTATTGTCTATATTTAAGCCCAGGAATTTTGTAACTTCAGTTTCATCTATTTTCCTATGTTGGTATTGTACAGTCAAATGATCAATAATTATTAATTATTATATTAGGATTATTTCAATATTACAAACAGACACTCCAATTTTATTTATCTGTATAGATAGTTCGCAATCTTTACATAAGTATATTAAAAAAATCACATATTTAAGTAGATTAATTATATAGTTAGTATAAAATGGTTCAAAATGAAAGTAGACACACGCCTATTGTTGTTAATTAGCACATACGCGAAATTTTTAGTTTTCATTTTTAAGTACTTACCTCTAAAAAGGTAGAAATTGTAAGATCACATTTTCAAAAAAGACAAACAAACGCAGTACCCCAAAAGTATACCAATATTATTTACAGGTAATGGACCTAAATGAGAAGTTAGACGCAGAGATAACAAAGGCGGATAAGCTGGAGATTGAGAACAAGAAGTTGAGCAGTCGCGCCGCGTCGGTGCAGCGGGAGCGGGACGCGTTACTGGCCGAGCGGGACACGCTGCGGGATACTGTCGATGAACTGCGCTGCTCTACTATTACTGCTGGTAAATATATACATACGGGTATTTTTTTTAAGGGGGGAAAAATCATTGAATGACTCTTCCCGTTCTTTCTCCTGCACGTCGAGCCGGAGCCCCGGTTACCCGTTAGGTTCGCAGCGATTCCGAATCGGCATCGGCCCTGTTGGGCCCCATCTGTGGTGGTCTGATGGCTCTTTAAGGCGCGCGCGGAACGCGACGCGCTTTACGCTCGGGTCTGTTTCTGGTCGGACGGGGAGCCACCCATGCTCGCCGTCCGCAGGCCCTATACATACGGGTATGGGGGTAGGTAGAGACTATGGAACGCCAATTTGACTGCACGGTTGTGCGATGCAACTGGATGCCGCGCAACATATCGCGGGTTCGAGTCCCATTGTGATCCACAAATTGTTGTTTCGGGTCTGGGCGTCATGTGTATGTGAACTTGTATGTTTGTAAAAGCACCCACGACATAGGAGGAAATCTTAGTGTGGTGCAAAGTTCTTAAAAAAAATAAAAAATTGCTACGATTCCTACAAAGCTCTTTCACTGGTAAATACTTAAATTTTGTATCCACTAGGCGACAATGGGGCCTACCATGTTTTTCCTAACCAGGTAGCGCTAGTGTGTTCCTATAGTTCTTCGTCCAATAGGGAATTAGCTAGTGTCACGCCATTGGACGGATGCTATTTGACAGATGCCGTGATTGGACAAGACAAAACACCTCTTCCTACATTTGTGCAATTTGGGGAGCAAAATTATGGTAGCCCACCATTGACGCGTAACCTGTACTAGAATGTTGTTTTAGTGGCAGGGTAATACTGGTTATTAAACTGTCAAACACCAAGCGGTCACCGGTGACCGCAACCTATTGTTCTATAATTGTGTCCACAAAACCGGTACTCGACGAGTTAAACATGGTAAGAAAGCAGATACGAGGCATGAGTGTTGCAAATTCGATTCTCCTACTGATATGAGCATTTTTGGGATTCTTGTCATTTCGGATCTATATCCGGAAAAGTTACTTTTCACTAAGCATTTTAAGAGTTCTATTTAGTAAAAGGCTAGTCTATTGGTATACCTTGGGGCCTCATTCCAAAATTATTGCTATTACATATGAAAAAAAAACGGCCGGAACACCCTAACAGTCACTTCGATGATTTTTTAACAAACTTTGATTTTTATACGTGGTATTTTATTTTTAATAAATAATTCCAGGTGCCAATGAAGATAATGTGTCCCGGGAACTGATCCCCAATGATCTCAAGGAACAACTAATTCGATTGGAACACGAGAACAAACTGTTACGGCAGAACCAGGATCAGGCATCAGTTCAGGTATGTTTAACGTCATTAGTAATATTTGATTAGCGATACACGATTTTAGAACTTTGTATTAAAGACGTTTTTTGTACCAAGGTAAAATACATACCATATTTAAGCAATATGGTAGTATCATAGCCAAATGTTATCCCCGAACCCTCCACAATCCTCAAATTCCCAATTCCCAAAAAACGCGTAACGCACTTATTGGTGGAAACACCAAGACGTTACGATAGACACCCGAAAAGTTCTTACCATCAGGCGATCCGTCTACTCGTTTACCGGCTTATGCTATAAAAAAAAATGTACAAATTGCGCTGTCTTAGTTAGATTGAATGTATTTCGATAGTATATTTCTTGCCCCGAAATCGAAGAAACACAATGTCTGTTCATGACCTTGAGCTCATTTAAAATGCTGTAATTCTTTCAGGCTCTTTTAGAAGATTATGTAGCGAGATTAGAGAAGCAACGAGCAATGAACCGGGAAGCGAATCAACGTATAATGCAGTTGGAAGCTACGTTAGAAGCACCGCATCCGAGATTAGCGTCAGCTATTGAGGATAATCAGAGGAAATGTAAGTCACTATTTTAGATTTTGTCACGTGTAGAATAAGGCATCATTCACTCGAGAGCTTTTTTAAGTAGAACAAATGCATCTTTTTTATGACGGAGGGACCTTCAAAATGCGCTTTAGCTTTTTGGGAGAAAGACTAGGGAGTGTGCGATTATTACTCTATTGAATGGCCACAGAGGTGGTCCACGGTGGTCACCCTTATCACCTTCTCAGGAAAATCTTATTAGAGGAAATAGACCTGCACCGGATCTAATAGACCAGAATCATAACAATAAATTCATTTAGTACTTGTTCATCCGTCTAAGGTTGCTGTACAGTATCCATCGAATGTTCAATACCTTTATTGGCACAGCAGAGTAGATTTTGTAGTGACCCACTCGGCACATTTTTCACACAATTGGCTTAATTTAACTAATTCATATTATTTCAGCATTGCAAGTAGAAGAATTACAAGCAGCCCTAGCAGAGGAACGGCGGAGGATCACAAAGTTACAAGAGGCGGTAGCGGCGAGAGACGCAGAACTGTTAGCCACTGAGGATAAATACAAGAAGTGCCTGGAGAAAGCTAAGGATGTCATCAAATCGCTAGATCCTAGGGCATCTGGTGAGTACATATTTTAGTTCGTCATGCTGTAGTTCGATAATGTGTTACTTATATTATAATTCCAAATTATAAGTTTGAAATTACGAATCCACTATAAGCAAGCATGGCTATTGACACTCATATCGTCTCCGTGTGACCAGACCTTTTCTCAGCAGTGGGCTGAGGATGAAGACAATAAGTTTCAGCTCTTCCTCACCATCTCCTACTAGTTACCTTGCCTACAGTTTAAGACTATGTCCAACAATGAACGAAATCGGCTGATAGTGTGATTATATGACCATCTGTAACTTTAGAAATATACCTGTGCCATAAAGACTTTTGCCATAAAGGTTGACTGTTAGAGAATGCCACTAGGCATTAAGTCTGCACTTGTATACGTATTGTGCAAAAAGTTTTTTTTATTTGTTAAAAACTAAATTGCTTTTGTGTTTATTTGCAGCTCAACCGTCTTTGTCAGACATAACGCTAGGATACTCTCGTACGGCGGGGGCCGGGGCTGGACCCTCGAGACCCGAGATCGCACCAGCAGCAAGTAATAGGAATGAGTAAGTATATTTATTTTATATATTTTATTCTCATTCTGTGTCTATCGTGAGAAATATTAAATTAACTAAGAATCGCGGGTTACTCACGTGAATATACTACTAATAGACTAATAGACTACTGCAGTAGGCTGCGCGACATGGCCGCGACCGCACACGCTGCTCATGATGAAGATCCCCTCTCTGACAAGAAACTAGTAGAGCTTTTCTCAATATATTCAAGGGAGTAACACGCGATTCTTAGTTCATTTAGTCTTATTCTAATCGCAATTTTGATTTATATTTTTGCACTATGAACTTTTGAGTTCTAGACCATCCTTTAAGAATTTGTTCAATCAATAGCATGTAGATTTATGTTTTGACTAAAGAATAAATGAAATTATTTGGTACTTACTTCTTTTACGAAATATATTTACAATTCAAAATTAAGCGCTTTTACTCATTAATATTTTGAGGCCGACCTCATCTAGCTACTCATAGAGTTACTTAAATACCCAAATATTAACGGTATCCGTGTACGCAGTTGGTCAGGCAGTGCGGAGGACAGTGCCCGTGGAGGCAATGGCGCGGGAGCGAGCGAGCAGAGACTGTTGACGAGTGCCTGGTACACGCTGGGGGCGCGCTGCCACAGGGACGCAGTGGACACTCGGTTCACGTTGCTGTCCGCGGGCCACTCGTTCCTGGCGCGCCAACGTCGCCAGCCGCCGCGCCCGCGCCCGCACGCGCCCAGCCCCGCGCCCCCCGCCCCCGCGCAGTGACACGTAAGTGCCGACAGCATTACACACTCGGGAACCAACGTACGTCATTCATCAGTGAAATTATTCTTCTTAGATCGTAATCCAAAATCGGTTTTTTGATCATCTAATGTCAAAAAGCGATCGTATTCTGCTGATTTTAGGTTGAGATTGGATTTGAAGATAATCTACCAATAACATGGCATTTACACATCACAAACTGCTGTCACAATAGATACTGTATTTGACAAAAATGCCTGACGTGCCTCCTTGAAAGCAGACAGTTTAACAGCTGTGTATGTACTCCGATGATGTGTACTAAGAGTAACTAGCACTTAAATGTTTACGGAGAAACATGGAATTAAGTCCACAATGTGTTCCATTACCCATCGGTTTGAGCGAACTTATATTTGTGATTGGCCAGGATGTTTGTATCTTTTGTAAATAAATAATATTTGTGTATAACTATTTACACTAACGTGATTGGTCGCTGGCCGAGCGGTCTCTTCCATCTAATAAATGTTCTATTAATTCTACGTCACTTGAAATCACATATAATTTTTGTATCAATTGTATCTGTACGTAAAAACGTGCCGAAAAATCGTCCCAGTGGGGCAGATGTTAGTTTTAAATGAAGACACATTCTGTATTATAAGAACATGTTATGTGACCTAAGTAGACACTTTATTACAATTGTTTCCTAATCAATAATGTCTCTTTGTATGAAAAAGACATTTTTTGAGTACTAATTTTGCTCATAATATGTGTTAATTATTTTAGATTAAGTTATAAAGCACGAAATGTAACCACCTGGTTAAATTAGCTATTATGTATAAATGTCAAAAAACTTTTAGAAAACATTGCAATATTTAGTTTGTATTATTTTGTGATTTTCTAGGGAGTTATTGGCTATAAATTGTTGAAAGGTTAAAATATTCAGAAGAGAAAGTTAACAAAGGTAGTATGGCTCTAACTATAGGGCCTTTGTTCTATTCAAAGTAATTGATCATTTTCCAAAGGTCCATAGATTTTCCACATGAGATCTTTAACATGTGAAGACAAAAGAGTTTCACTTTCAACAAATGGATTAATTTGTATCTGTCTCCTGAACAAAATAGATTTTTACAAGACAGCGTATTGAAGTTGTTTTGTTACATGCATATACTCGAAATTACGCAATCATTTTGAGCTTTAGATAATAATTAATTCGAACAAAAAATATTCAAGTTTATAGTTATTAACCGTCAAAGACAAGTTTGCGCAATGTGCGGTAAATAATGCGCTAACGTTGCGTAATTTGCGCTGTCATAAGCGCAACTTGAAAATGCCGAGACTTTTCCACCGTATTAATGCAACATAAATCTAATACCTTTTCGATTGAATTTCACATTTATTTTGATATATCAATATTGGTGGTTATAATATATTCGGTGTTAAAATTCACCATGATTGGTGCTTTCTCAAAGAAATTCGTGTAAAAATTTTAGAGTAGAATAGCCAAGAAGAATAAGCCTAATTCAAGAAAATATTTCTAATCTGAAATAAATAATTCTTTCAGTTATTGTGACTTACCATGAAGGATAGTTTACCACAAATGGTCGATAGAGATTGGTTAGATCAGGGTGAATAGAAACTACACATTTACACAATGTACCTATAATTGTCTGTATGAACTAAAATATATTATTTCAAACATCTGTTTCTATTCTATCAGTCTATATTCTATTTATCTTGTAGTTGTAAAGTCTCTATTCACTTCTTTATTATTATTTGTGATTTTCTTTCTGTACATCACTTCTAGTATTTTTTTCGTTTCATTAAGGTCATTGGAGGTCAATGATTTGTGTAGGACTGTAGGTGATATTCGTGATAAGATAACAGTACTGTATGGTTCATGGGATACAAAGCTATGGGTAAAGTCCTTGAGCTAATCTACTCCCGTCCCTTCGAGTTATAACATTGACGTAATGTAACCGATAAAATAATATATTTTATGTATAGGCAAACGCCAAATACTTTCCTTAAACTGTGACAATATTATATTTTCCGCTAATTTACCTTATTTTAGTTTAGGTTAACAAAATATGTGTGATCCTAGAACAAATCTAAGCTTCGTGCACTACATAATTATATTTTAAGATAATAATTATCCTAATGTTTATAACATCGTTTTATATCAGTATTTTGTTAATATTTATAAATGTTGTAACCGAAGTCTTTTCTAATCAGAATTTATTATTTGTTAATTTTTGTAAACTATTATTATCACATTAGCAATCAAATCAGACATTATTATTGTCAATATGTATAGAATATATCAATTATTATGCATTTTATGTTTATCTATGTAAATTATCGATTAATTAATACTGGTGACAGTATCAGTACAGTGGATGGAACTATTGATGCGGAGCAGTGCAAATTATTTATTTAGTTTTAGTATAAATTGTAATTTATTGTTAATGATGACAATATAGTTTTGGATTTTTAATATAATCATATTATTTTTGTTTTACCTCACACACCTCTATTTCCCGAATACTGAAAGGGTACTCGATTTTAAGCTGTGCTTAAATATCGTGCTATCTCTGTCATTTTATAAAGAATTTTGTAGTGACAGAAATAGTCTTAAGTGCGATTTAAAATGGACTGGCGTTTGAGTATTTGAACATATGATACATACCTTTCAATACGAAGAAGTGAAATACAGTAAATCGTGTAAAAACACAAAATCCATTAAGTGATTTCATAATTTATTTGTAATTGAGATCACAAGCAACTTAAAATTTAACTTATATCACATCAAACCATACTACACAATATAATGTGGTCACGGCTTTACAATACACGGTCAAATTTTGCACCAAACAATATGGAGAAACACAAAAATCACTAAAGCAAAACTCGTGTAAATTCGTAACAAAGTTAGCGCAGCTTCTGAACTAGCCACTGCCTACTAGTGTAACGATACTGGAAACATACATTTATCCGAGTTACATTTGTTTATAGACTCCTAATTTTGTAACTATTTCTCTTTTTACACACATACTTAGATCTGTTGGTTCGTCACGAACACTTGGACCGGACACCGGCGTCTACATCTTCTAACGTTAAGTTTACTCTAGCTCGTGACACAAACCGCACCTGACTATTATTTGCAAGCGCTTAGCCTAAGGTTAAATATTAAATTGAATTAGTCGAAGTCCTCATCAGAGTCTGTCTTCAATACACTGTCGGACCCCGAACCAGGCTCGCTGTCCACCGCAATCTCACTGCACACAAACAACAACTATTAATTAACTGAAAAAATGACAGACAATCAAATGGATTTCAAGAAATGAATTAAAGTTTTTCAAAAGCTCGCCTTGCAAAACATGATTCAACCATGACATTTCAAAGAATCGAAGAAAGGATTTCGTCATAATCACCTAGCAAAAAATTAAAAAATAAAGTCTACTGAAGATGAATCGGTCAGACGAAAATTAGTGTGTTAAACCTGAACATGATTATGGGCATTAGCTATTGTTAACCCTAGCCCTTTTTAGCACACAGACCATAATTTTGTACATTCTTAAGTTCGTAAGGGATACTTATGACTAACATAAAGCAGGTAGATAGTTGCGAAACTCGTATGTGATTATTATCGCTTGGCGCATACGAGTTTGTGTATCTTGTACTCGTACCTTGAGCTTGTGTAAACAAGCTTAAATAATGCGTTCATGCAATACGTTGGGATATTCTTGATAGGTAATAATGTCGATGGCATTCTGAACCGAACAAATACCTCGCTCTTAGTTATTTTATTATAGAAATGTTAAGGTCCTTATGTTCGGTTATGCTATTTTTGTGATGTTTGAGTTCGGTACCACTGTGAAGGAGAAATGCTGATGAAGGTTACAGCGAAATTATAATTTTATGTATTAGTTGTGAGTTGAGAACATTGATTTAATATTCTATTGTCTTTGGAAATCGATTTTATTTGGGTCAGAAGACTTGAAATGAGTTGGTAGTGAGACGTGAAAATATTGCATAGAACTTGGAATTAGTTCGCATTGTTCATAAATGAAACTTGCCTGTCTTTGTCATTGTCTCTATCTGCACCTTTTATATTGATCTCTACGATATTTCTGTCGAAAAAATATTAATTTCTCAATATATTGTATGCAAAAACATATGTATATTATAGGAAAAAATGAGGTATCGTTGTGGTTTTTACTTTACTCTTGTAAAGTTATTGGAAACCGCTTGTCAGCATCAGTTTAGCTACACTATAATCTATCAAAATTCTTTTAAAGATATTCAACTTTATTGTATTGTTTTAAGGTCGAAAATATATTGAAAAGATTTGACAGCTCATAATCGGTTGATGTGCTATCGTCTTGTACTTAAAGTCGGGTATTTGCTACATTGTAAGTGTGTAATGAATGATGAATGGCGCCAAGTAGTCCACTTACCCGTTAAGATCCTTGGTGAGTTGTATGTCCACATTGGTAGCAGTGTCGTTGAGGCCGTTGAGAGCTTCGCAGAAGTCACTGCCCACGCTCTGAAGATGATGAGTGTTCAGGTGGAAGCCCTGGTAAGGATCATTGTTGAATATCATCCATTTCATGGTATTCTAAACATACTATACTACATATTTATTTATTACTCATCATCTCAAAAAAGATAAGATACTTATACAATTATTATTTATTTTTCTGTACTATTTGCGTCAGGCCGTCGCGGTTTTAGTAGTCCGCTTTGCACGTTTCAATAAACGAACAAAAAAACATAAAAGTAAACTGATATAATTAATATATAAACTACTTTAAAAAAAAAACTTCAATCCCTTCTTTTTTGATGTCGGTTAATTAATGTACCTACTAAAACTTTCTCCTAAGTGTAACTAACTGTTTACTGATAAACACATCAAAATCGGTTCATTAAATTGCGATACAATCGCGTACAAATATACATACAGGTCAAACCGAAACGCATTTTTTTTTCTTTTTGAAGTCTGTTAAAAATAGTAGTAGTCTTTTGAATAAATAAATACCTTAACCGACTTTTGACTCACACGCTTATGTTAAAGGCAAATGGATACTATTGTTACGACCGTGTCACGAATTTGCGATCACATTATAGTTTAGCGTTGAGTCACTCGTATGCTGCATCACTGATTTATTATTAGTTATTCATCGATGGGATTATTATACTGACTGGCAGTGATTTCCTTTGCATGGACAGTCACGTGCAGGCAAATATTAATACGGAAATTATGTTGTAGATTTTATTCTGATTGTTGTTATACATGATAATTAATAGGTAGCTAATATAGTGGAACTGAAGAACTATTAAGGAGGATGATTCAGAATAAAAATTGACTTTTGGAAGTCTATTTTGAGGTATAAGTATTAACGGCCATCCTACCATCACACCAAGTGAAAGAAACGACACGTAGCGTAGCTGATAATACAGTGAAATAAGTAGAAATATGAAAAATATTAATGTGTTCCTTTAATATTCCTGACTGAAATATGTATACTTAGTTTATCATAGTACAGAAAAACAACTCAAATTCTCAATTTTTACCGAGTTCAAAATAAGGAGGATATACTATGTTCGAATGATTGTTTTATTCGCAACAAAACAAAAGTTACACACAGAAAAAGCTGATTAGCATAATATTTCCTACAGAGGAAACTTCCCGATCACACTGCAGCTAAGAAGATCCATTACTAAAACACCTACTCCATAGATCCATAGCTGTCTTCCCACATAAAGTAGATGGGAGATTTGTAGCGACTGTAACCCTTATCAGGGGATCTCGTATCGAGTATGGGATAGAGACCGCTAGATGTATTAGCCCACATGGCTAGTAGCTAACTATCGTTATCATTAATCTGAGCATCTGTCATTTCTAATTGGAGTATAAGTGTGATGGAATGAGTCTCATTATTATATTGCTACGGAAATTATATTCAACTTTACTGAGGGATAATTAATGCTGTAAAACAGTAATTGTCGATCGTAAGATCAAAAATGTATTGAATTATCGTCCGTCGTCTGATTGGATTTTATAGCAATCGATTTATGTTTCTTTTGGCGTTAAGGTTAAGTACATTTTATATAATTAGTCTTACGGGACCTACCTAATTCGTTTTGTACACTTTTCGTAATTATCATAACTTTTTTTCAAAATAAAATTATTTCATTACATGCATTTTCTTGTTTAAAGATTAGTCGATCCTTTATCGCAACACATTAAGAAGGTTTATATCGTGCATGTGTTGTACCAGCACCTATTATCTGTAACTTACTATTAAGTACTTCGTGCTAATCTTACTGTAGGGCCCACATGTTTGATAGCGTTGTGGTATTCATGTTTTACCGTCGGTTGTCGTGTAGTTTCGAAATAAAGTCTAGTCTATTTTCAGTACGCTCTATAATTAAAGACACCGTTTAATCTACGGTACCTATTAAAAGAAGCAATACGTGCATTCCGTTTTTTGCATGAACCATTATTGTCGGACGTGCAATGGCCATTTTACCCAAAAATATCATTACCTTGAAAGGTCCTCTATCAAAACCACAGAATGATGCTTCCATGGTGTAAGATCTGGTGACGCCAAGGTGTCTCCACACGGTGACCCTGGCCGTACTCTCCCGTTCTCGTTCCACTCTGAAGGAACACGAGCCGAGCGCGAATGCTGGCGAAATCCGATGCATTAGCGCTGGCAACATCTGTTAGGAAAATTCATATTACATATTTGGCAAGACTTTCTCTTTCTTGTTTTTTTTTTCTACATTTGACCTGCATTAGTATTTTCGTCTGTGTCGTGTACATACATTCACACACGCATTAACACACCCAGACCAGACACTAAACAACAATTTGTGGATCACGCAGAGTCATCCTGCCAGCATCAAAATATTCGTAGTCTTTGAATTACCACACACTGCTAATTTTTCATCAATATGATCTTTGTTGGTTTGCTATTTAGTATCTTTCGTTTAAGCATTACCGTGTGTATGTTATTAATATATCGCTATGCCATAAGTGCATGCATCAGGAAGTTTCTTCTGATAAAATCATGTAACTGCAATGGTACTGCAGTAATTTATTTATCATGCAGTGTGTGGTTTTAGTTTCCCACTGCTTGTATCCTTGATGGCGTTTGTAAATATTCATACTCGGTGTAGAAATCATATTTGCTTAGAGTACGCCATATGTAGTTTGGGAGGTTCACAATACAATCAAAATATAAAAGGTGCACTTATTGTTTTTTTAAAAACGTTGCCCCACACTAGTGTTTTCTTCTGTGTCGTGGGTGCGTTTACAAACATACAATATCCCATACACATGACACCCAGACCCGGAACAACAATCTGTGGATCACACAAAGAGTTGTTCCGTGCGGGTATCGAACCCGCGACACGTTGCGCGGCAGCCAGTTGCCCAGCCACCGCGCCAACCGTGCAGTCTACTTTCTTAAAGATTTGACGGGGCTTGCAAC